ACCGTCTTCCTAGGTCTACCTTTGCCTTTCTTAACATAAGTCGAATCTAAAATATCTATTCTTTTAATCGGATCATTAGATGGTCAGCACTTAATGTGACCAAACCATCTAAGACGACTTTCTCTAAAGGAGCTACACCAACCCTATCACGAATATATTCATTCCGCATTTTGTCTCTAAGTGTAAAGCCACTCATCCACCTAATCATTCTCATCTCGGCAACACTTAACTTATTATTATGCTTCTCTTTTAAAGGCCAACATTCAGCGCCATAGAGCATTGCAGGTCTCACCACCATCTTATAAAATTTTCCTTTAAGTCTAAGCGGTACTTTTCTATCACACAAAAGGCCCGAAGCATTCCTCCACTCAACCAACCAACTTGAATTCCACTATTAACATCTCCATCCATCCACGCTTTGAACAACAGACAACAACAGACTAAATCATTCACACCTTTTAATAATTTGATCAAACCAACTTATTAAACCAAATAACAATGAAAAAATAAATATTATTACCAACTTCCAATAGAAAATTACAACAAACAAACATAAATCTGAAATTGCAACAAACAACAACACAAATTCACCCTAGGATTAGAGTTTTTCCTGGGTTTTTTCTCTCGTTTTATCCACGAGAAGAATATCATCAGCAAAAAGCATACACCAAGGTACATCCTCTTGTAGATGTCCAGTAAGACCATCCATAACTAAAGCAAAAAGATATACGCATGTTGCCTAATGGAATCCAACAGAAATAGGAAAATATTTGGTTAATCCTCCCTCAGATCGAGCACAAGTAGCAACTCTAGCATACATATCTTTAATGACTTGAATATAAGTCATATCAACACATTTCTTCTCGAGAACTCTCCAAAGGATATCTCTTGGAACCTTATCGTAAGCTTTTTCTAAATCAATAAAAATCAAATGTAGATTCTCCTTGTTATCTTTGAACTTCTACATCAAACCTCTCAATAAATGTATAGCTTCCATAGTAGACTTGCCCAACATAAATCCAAATTGATTATGAGAAATCTTTTTAATACGTCTTAACCTATGTTCAATTACCCTCTCC